AAAGTGTTCTAATGACTTGGAAAAATACCAGTTTGTCCATAATTAATTCATAATAAGCTAAATTAGAAGAGAATTACCAACAGAATTCGATGAGTGACAGATCAAGAAAGGTCAAAATGTCTTTTTTTGTTTATACATACCGGTACTGCACTTACATGAACATTTATGATTGGTTAAAACTAATTAATTATATGCAATAAGAACATAATGATATGATTAAGAATGCATGGTAATTCATTAGAAACACCAATTAATCAAATAGTTTGCTTAATTTGACACTAAAAAATAAGGAAACCCATCTTTAATTTGGCTACCATTTTCAGTACAAACTGCCCTTAAATGCTTTGTCCAAGACAACAATGCCTTCTGGATTCCATCAAGAGGCATTTAATTCCATTAATCCCTAATTCTGTCCTTCAGGTGAATACTCCAAATTTCTAAAATCTTATTATGAGAACCTATATATATGACGTACACGGTCACTAGTTCAATGCTCAGAATACAAAACAAACCACTTCATAATGTTTCAGTTAAGATTTTCACCAATTAAAATGATAAGGTTGAGTTATTTTATCTGATAAACAATGTTCATTAATGCTATATTACATAAACAATAGTCGAATAGAAGCATGCACTCAGTCAAGGCTATAGAATTCTGGAGATTTGTTAGTATTTTAAAGGAATACTACTTCTTAGAATGGACATAAAATTTCAAGTCTCAAACTTGGTCGACAACTGTATACGTTCATCAGATGGACTTGCCAGGTGCCATGACTAAAGAATAGAATCTCTATATAACCCTAAATATCCATTTAACTAAGTATTAATTGAAAAACGCTTCTAAGCATCTTTCAAAATTACTTAGTTTCATGAATTATTACTTAGTTTTATGGATTGTTTGGATTATAGAGGGATTTTCAGCAGATAAGTCCAGTGAATAACAAAAAATTATTTCAATTTTTTTGGTCATCCTAAGAAGCAGTATTCTTTTAAACTTGTCTTACTTATTAATATTTTAGTACTACTGTTCAATACAATTGAGATTTCTAATAGACTTGATAATTAGTTCTACATGAATTATTTTCTTTAGTCTACCCTATTATGAAAGAGTTTTTTTTTCAAAGGAATTAACTAAGTTTACTGGTAATTACTTTTGTGTGATTTCAAGCAAATTAAAAAATATGCATGTCATAAACATTATGATCTATACAAGAATTTAGATAAAGAACTTTAAAGTCAATATGTCTTTGATGTGGTGCTTGATTGTTGAGTTCTGAGCCAGTTTCGTCTGTAACAATTCTGGCCTCGATTAAATGGTATGAACCAGAGTAAATCAGTTATAAGTAGGAATTTTCGGAAAATCTTATGCACCGTTGACCTCCAATTTAATAAAACAGCGGTCTTAATTTTTCAGCACATTTAACATTCTGTAATACATTTACATGTAGTTCTATTACTGGCATTCTGACGTGGAAATTTAGGAGCATTTTACACATTATCCATTTCCATTATCTTAAATAAAATTTCATTATCTTAAAAAAAAATCCATTATCTTAACTTCCTTTATCTTAGAAGAACTTCCATTATTTTTAATAAAATTCTGTTATCTTAAATAAAATTCCATTATCTTACATAAACGTCCTGTCTTAGAAGAACTTCCATTATTTTTATTAAAATTCTGTTATCTTAAATAAAATTCCATTATCTTAAATAAAATTCAATTATCTTAAATAAACTTCCATTATCTAATATAAAATTCCATTATCTTAAATAACATTCCATTATCTTAAATAAAATTCCATTATCTTAGATAAAATTCAATAATCTTAAATAAACTTCCATTATCTTAAATAAAATTCCGTTATCTTAAATAAAATTTCATTATCTTGAATAAACTTACATTATGTGAAATGAAATTCCTTTATCTTAGAAGAATTTCGATTATTTTAAATGAAATTCCATTATCTGGAGTAAAAATCCATTATCTTAAATGAAATTCCATTATCATAGATGAACTTCCATTATTTGAAACAAATTTCTAATATAATATTGAATAAAATTCCGTTATTTTAAATGAAATTCCAATATCTTAAATGAAATTCCATTATCTTAAATGAACATGGAAAGGGAATTTTCATTCAGATAAAATGACCAGAAATAATTTAGATTGTAATAAGCTTACCTGTTTCATTATGTAAGAAATTTCAAACATATACATTAGCATAATATCAAATAGTCACTAGAGTTTTGTGATTTTCTGGACCATAACTGTATTGAATGAAGTTTTGAAGTATTATTTTGACTGAAGCTTATGTTTTATATTTTAGAATTGTCCATGGTTTTTGATTCTAAATTACAACCACCACCAATAGCCAAGGAACATCATAACATCCCCCGAGATTTAGGAATAGATCGTATTGCTTCTGCTGTCACAAAGGGTAAGTTATACCTTGAGCAAATATATATTTCTTGAGAAAATATACTCGAAAAGGACCTGAAAATCCTGAAAATGATTGTGGGAAGTTTTTGAAGTTGACATATTTTCTTAATGATATTTAGAAAATTAGACAGCATCTCGTTCATCAAAATACCAAATATATATAGTATAAATTTTGTGTTGTCTGACTCTTTTGGAAAAGTTGATAGCATCTGAATTCTCATCTTCACAATGTCAAGCTATTACAAACTTTGTCTTATACCTTGATTGCTATAGCAATCTTTCTTGTATCATGTAATTCAGTGAGTTGATTGGATTGTACGCTAACAAATATAGCCAATCAGAGCCCTTGACATAAACACTAAACATTTTGCCAAACAATCATTTGCATGCAATCCAATTACTGGTAATTGTTGGAATTTACAAAGCACTTGACAAAAGAAAAGTGGCTATTACAATCAAGGTATAAGATGCAGTTTGTTATAACTTGACATTGTGTGAAAAGTGCTTGAAAAATGTTTTAAGCATTTTACAGTTCTGAGAAATATTTTCAGAAATGGGCAATATCATATCATCTAAACCCGGAGGTGACAATATCAAAGAGCTTGGTTTGAACAAATTGATCAGGGACACAGGGCCTTATATAAGTGGTAAAGTTGAGAATGTGGTCAATAAAACCATATTGGGGGCTGAGAAATTAGCTACACTGAAAACTATGTAAAGAAATGGGTGTTGTGAGGTCAGTCGTTTTGAAAAGCATCAATTTTTGCTTGTAACTATCCTCTGTGGGCTTCACTAACCAACCACTTATGTGAAAATGTGTTGCTAATATTGTGGTTTTGGCTTATCATAGAAAATATTTGATCGCAAATATTTTGAATCGGAAATTGTGATGGGAAAGTGGGTTTTAATTGGCATATGGTTGAAATTAAGAATTCTGAAAGCACTAACAGTGAAGTCATGACTACCTTAAAGCAAGTTATCAGATATTTATCAGTGGATATTTAACATTTATTGTCATCCAACAACATCGTCATATGCAATAATTTGAGTCTAAATTGTTAATCCATGATATTAGCAATTTATCGATTTCCTCACAAATTGTTCTTTGGGTTGGGTTCATTTGTGAAGTTTAACCCTTTTGTTTTGTAATTTTTGGATTTTTTTGGTGATAGGTATGACGATTTTTAAGGGAACAGATGTGCCATTTTGGGGGGGTGATTTTAGTCTTGAATATATGTAAATAGTCTTCAAAAATACTAGAAAATAGTATAATTCCTTCAAAAATACTTCAAACTAGGAATTTTACTCACTATTTCTATATAATTATGTCTTTTCTATCTTAAAATAATGAGTCGTCATTTTAACATTCAAACGCAGATAATTCTAGACACACATGGATTTGAAGGCTCCAATTTCGACAGTGAGCTGTGAACACTATTACTGATTGGCTTAGCTAAAAAAATTCACATTTCTGAGACTAAAAGTATGATTGTCAAAGAAAATGGTGCAGCTGTCCCTTTAAACTAACCTTTCATATTGATCTCACTTATCTGCTGATTGGCCTTTTATGTCCTATTTTTTTTATCTGTCTTTTTTCCATTTTGTAATGTGCTTCTTTGAAGATTTACACCAGGGAAAAAGATTTTTGGGAGAAATTCAGGGAATATATTTTCAAGTAGGCCTGCATTGAGCACCAAAGTTATGATTTATTACAACTTTATCTGAATCGGAATGTAGAAATTTAGTTTTCACTATTGATCTTGAATTAAGATAAAAGTTCATTTTTGTTATTCTTTATTCTATTAAAAGAATTATGAACATTTTTATATTTTTTGCATTTTACATTTTATTGAACCACCACATATTCTCCAAAGAATGTTTATTGTTTTTGTTCATGTCTGTTATTGATGGAACAATTTTTATTGATTTTATTGTAAGTATGTTTATAAACAAGAATCAAGATGAGATTGAATTTAAGTATTTTTTGTTTAGAGTTTTCAGAGTTATTGCCTTTGATTTTTATTAAGAAAAAATTGAATTGATGTTAATTCAAAGTTTGAAAATTTTTCAGGTTTGGTGTGAAAGATGTTGACAGTTAAGAACTTTGTTAAATTTGTTCATTTGAAGTTAATAACAATAATACCAAAAATGAGTCACGTGGATACTCTTAAAGGAATGCTTATTTGAGTTGTGAAGCTCAGATATTTGTCTAAAATTCCAGAACCTTAAAGGGATTATAAAGAGGGTTTCTTGACTTTTTATGTGTATCAATAGGGAACACTGATAGCATCGATTGGCACCATTCATATTTTCAGTCAGGTCTGTGTTTCCTGAAATTGAACTAAAACTAAGTGTTTTATGACATCACTGGGCCTTATTAAAAAAATTAGCAGCTTTTACAAAAGTGGCATTTTCATAAAAAGCTTAGTTAAAGTGGAATAACAACAAAGTGATAATCGATGCTTTCAGTGTCCCCAGCACACACAAAAATTTTGAAACCTGTTTACAATTCCTTTGAATGAATTCAGAATGTTTTTTGAGTTTGTTTCATTGTAATTATGTTAAATTTGTGTAGAAATCCATCCAAATTTCCATGGACCTACCATACTATGCGTTGTTTTGAGGGCCTTATTTTATAGTTGACTAATATGTCTAATGAATGATGATATACAGTTAAAGAAGTGTCTGAGAGGGATTGTTAAGAGGTTTTCGAAGTTTTTATGTGTTCCAGGGACACTGCAAAATTTGCTTGGATCACATAAGAATCAAACATAAAACAATTAGTTTTAGTAGAATTGTTAGAACCACAGACGCCTTATTGAAAATTGGAATGGTGCGAGTTGATGCTATCATTGTCCCCGATAAACATACACAATTTAGATAACAATCCCTTAAAATAGTGTCATCAAGTTTTGTGAATTCAGAAATTGTATGGTCAAGCAAAGATTTTTACCCAGAGTACATCAGACTACTTTTGAAAATCAGTCCTGGATGCTCTAATAATTGAAATGAACTGTTTGAAGGGTCTATATTTGTCTTCACAATGTCAAGCTATTACGAACTTTGTCTTATACCTTGAGTGCAATAGCCACTATTCTTGTGTCATGGAATTTTGTGAATTCAGCGATTTGATTGGATTGTATGCTACCGAATACTAGCCAATCAGAGATCTCGATGGATGGTCTGTAAACCAAGAGCTATAATGTTTATAATGAAATCTCTGATTGGCTGTATTCGAATCAAATCGCTTTAGTCTGTGATACAAGAAAGGTGGCTATTGCAGTCAAGGTATTAGAGGCAGTTTGTAATAGCTGGACATTGTAAAGATGTAAAGTATGAAACAGCATTACTCTTTCCATCACTTTTTAAAACAAATTTATTGAGGACAAACCACTAGTTAAATTATACTAATCTGGCAACAGGCTTCTGGTATGTTATGTAAATAAACTTTGTACATATTGTAATATATCTTATATTGGGTTTTATTATGTGATATTTCAATTGTCTGTCAAATATATTTTATATGAAAGGTTTCAATATTACTTTTATTCTTCTCAAAGAGTCAAGACACCTTACCGACCTCTAGTCCAATATCAGAAAATATCACTGATTCCCTAATTTTATACGCCCAAATCACTATGTGAATATTGACATTGTGCCGATTGTGCTGATTGTGATGAACTTGGTGTGTTATTAATAACATAAATTAAGATCAAGGGCAAATTTGAGGCTTTCTACACATTTACCATTATGATTGTGTATTGAAAATACCATAGCTCTTAGTTTTTTCGTCTGAAACATTTTGAAACATTGAAAAACATTATAAATAATAACAAATATTTAATTGATGCTTTAAGATCTATATTTCTGACATATTCAAGTCTTCATCAAAAACAAAACCATTATTATCTGTGGACTGCTGTTTTTCTTTTCCCATTTTATCAACAAATTGTTTACGTTTCTCTTCCTTTCCGCTGAAATAATAACAAGTGGTTGTCAAGCAAGATACGCCCACTTCCCTGATACATTTTCAGTAGATCAAGGTCGGTCACCAATCTGTGTCAAATCATTCCAAAAATCCAATTTGTGCAAGATATTGTAGATTTAAACAAACACACAAAATTAATTACAATTCTGACATAAACTGCCACCTATATCGTGTTCACAAGCCAAAAAATTTTGATGCGTTGTTACTAAGTCAAGGGCAATAATTCAAATTAGGTAGATCGAAAAATAGTCAAATTTGAACTTGTCCAAGATCTCATCATTATAAATATTCACGCCAAATGTCATTTAAATCTGATGAAAATTGTACTCTCTATTGTGTTCATAAACAGCATGACGTGTTTTTCCTTCGTCAAGGGCAATAACTCAAAAACAGTTTATCGAAAAATTCGAACTTGTCTAAGATCTGATCATGATTAATGATCACATCAAATTTCATTTAAATCGGATGAAACTGTCTATATTGTGTTAAACAAATTTTGGCACTTCTTAATCAAGGGCAATAACTAAAAAAACATTCATCGAAATATCGTCAAATTCGAACTTGTCCAAGATCTCATCAATATCAATAATCACACTAAAAACTGTAGTCTCTATTGTGTTCACAAGCTAATTGTGGACGTACGGACCGACGGACAGGGGCCACGACAGAAAAAGGCATAAAACTACTTGATAGTTTGCACTTTCGTTCTCAGGAATCGAATTTAACCATATTTTTTAGTTAATTTGGAATATCAAGAACATCGTTTCGTTTCTAAAAATATATCCAGGTTAACTTTGAGTGATAGAAACGTGAACGTTCTTCGTTCTCACATTCAACAACAAATACTTTATAAATAGAACGACCGAGTTGTGAGTCCTTTTGGACCATACTACTTTATCACAGGGATGATTAGGATGCACGTGGTTATTGAAATTACATGATGCAGCTGTAAAACACTTACCCCCTTTAAGAAAATGGTAGATTTTAAAACGGATGTTACGCATCATACAGAAGGCCAATAAAGGTAAACAAGCCTGATTTTTACGGAGTGAGAATAAATTGACGTTTTTGTGTTTTAAAGTGAAATTAGAATGAAAAAAAAAGATAAAAGTGTGAAAAAAGTAACAAAGCAGTGTTGTTCCTGTTGTATTGGTAAGTTTATTTCATTGATTTTTATTTTGTGAAGCGAGTACTATGAATACATTTATTTTTACTTTGCGAAGACAAAATGGTCCAAATAATCATAACCAACTGTACTTGATTTGCACATGTTTGCAAGGATAGGTGTTTGCAACAGCCTTGCCGAACACGTCCCTGTTCTTCAAAACGGTCTTTCGATAAGAATTTGTGGTTGATTTTGGAATTTTGCTTTAAGATTTGCCACAAATTGATCGGAAGGTTTGGTTTTGAAGCAGGACAAAAAGAAAAATGGCGGATTCCATACCAGTCCGGCCCAATGCCGTAATAGAAAGATTAACTGTTTGGGTTACTCTGCCTTTTTTCTGTAAGAACAAAACTAATTGATATAAATAAGCAGGCTACCTTGGTGTATATTTATAGAAAATCCATCTATCTGAAGTACAGCAGTTGACATCTTTCTTTATACAGAAACAAACTAATACCATCAGTAACACCACAGCAGCAATCGTACCCCATAATAAACCCTGTTCATATCTGAAAATAGTCCGATATACAAACATAGTCATAACACACTAGAAGGCACAATTCCTGACAGATTTTGACGAAACTATGTGTGAGTGTTTGTTATCACCCAACAATAAACCCTATCGAAAATCAGAGCAATCGAAAAATATTTAGTATGAAATATGTTTCATTTTTAGAAGGTAAACACTCTAGAAGCACAATTCTTGACGGATTTTGACGAAACTTGGTGTGAGTGTTTGTTATCAAGGATAAACCCTGTCGAAAATCAGAAAAATATACAGATTTTTTTCAAAACTTGGTGTGAGTGTATTTAATCAACCAGGGATGAACCTTTTTGAAAATCAGAAAAATCGAAAAATGTTTAGTAGAGTTTTCAGAGTTTTTGCCCTTGTTCTTGAAAACTCGTTTAAATTTTAACCTGTAAAAAGACAAGAAGGCCTAATTTTTGACAGATTTTGACAAAATGGTAATATTATTCAGTATCGCCCCAAAAAGTTCAAAAGAAGTATGTGACTGAAGGTTGAATATTTCATACTGGTGATTGTTATTGTACTGCCAAATATTTTTATTCAAAACCAAAGCTGCCAGTGGGCTTATATTAACTTGCCTGACAAGCTATCTTCTGTAACATGTGTCAAATTTAATTTTATCTTTAAAATCAACACAAATCGATTGATATTCGCATAGAGGAAATAGACTGAAAGTATGTTGTTGTCATTGAATTGATATTTTGAAAAACATATTCATCAAAGGTTTCAGAATTTAAAAAAAATATTATTGATTGAAGATTACAATACATGACAACAAAGTGATTTCCATAAACATTATATAAATTATTAAATTTTCCTCAAACGTCTAGGTGATTAAACATTTACATTATACAAAATGAAAATCACTCTTTTCGATCAAGTATAGAAATTCGGAAATAAAATGAAATAAAATTGATTTTAAGTATTTTTTTTTCCGCATGAGTCGGCTATTAAAAACGGGTATTGCCATGCAGTGTGCAGTTATTTGACGTCCACAGCCCCATGCACACGGTGTCTTGGTTTATCATCCCGCCCGAACGACTAAACGTTTATCGATAGTCAGCTCATCTGACACCTGATACCTCATGTGAAAAAGCTTTTACTTCTTCTACAAAATGTTGGAGATGCGGAAAATCAAAGTTTATGCTTTTCTGTTCAACTGTTGTCGTGAGAGTATGTTACATTCACTGTCAAGCTTGAATTTGGGAAATGTCATATAGGCGTTATCCTAATCAATGCAGACGATACCATAATGGAGTAACGTATTTCCCAATGCTTTCCGAATGTGTTCATCTAGTGCGAACCATCCTTATAGTTTCATGTCGTAAAGCCCTATTGATAATAATAGTTTTAATTACTTCTCTTTGTCTCTTTCATCTGTTACGGATGCGTACGCAAAGCCGTAACTTCCTATTTCCCTTACACAACATTTCCATGTCATTCATAAGATCAGACGATAAGCAAACTCCTTTAGTCTCGCCTCACTCAACCTCTTGAAGGTAGGAAATTGCAAACATAAAACACAATAGGTTGAATAATTAATGCACTCGAAATAATGGTCCAGGGTTTGATCTCAGTCTTTTAACTTGGAAGGGCTAGCATGGAATCGCGACCAGCCGATCCGATGGTGGCAAAAGCGATGCCTGTGTCTAAGAAAAATTCTGATTTTGTAACAGACTTGGTGTCGTCAAGGGACATCTAACATGACACATACATTCCGATATTACTTACACAAACTGCCTTTTACCGAAAAATGTCACATCCGCAATGACAGACATATTATTGTTGACATAAATTATCGCTTGCACATATCACATGTTATGATAAGCACAATCAGTTATCCCGATGAGGTTAACATAAGATGAGCTTTTGCCCGTCGAAAGTTGTAAATTTGTGATTTTTCGCATCTTCCAACGTTGAAGGGGCCATTTATTGTAGATTATTTCAGTATTCTTGCAGTTTCATTGTAATAGTATTCAAAATCAAAATGATTACAATGCCAAAAATGATGGCCATGATTCTTTCTGACCAAACATACAAATATCCTTAACAAATCGTTCTGATAAATACCCTGTTGTGGTTTCAACTGACAACCTATTCTTATTTTGTGGCTGAAACTGAAAAATAATTCTGATTTTGTGGTTTTATCTGAAAAATAATTCTGATTTTGTGGTTTTATCTGACAAATCGTTCTGATTTTGAGGTTTTCACTAACAAATCGTTCTGATTGTGTGGTTTTAATTATCAAATCGTTCTGATTGTGTGGTTTTCACTGACAAATCCTTCTGATTTTGTGGTTTTCACTAACAAATCCTTCTGATTGTGTGGTTTTAAATGACAAATCCTTCTGACAAATCGATTTGTCAAATAGTTCTGACAAATCCTTCTGATTGTGTGGTTTTAAATGACAAATCCTTCTGACAAATCGATTTGTCAAATAGTTCTGACAAATCGATCTGATTGCGTGGTTTTAATTGACAAATCGTTCTGATTTTGTGGTTTTTACAGCAAAATCGTTCTGATTGTGTGGTTTTAATTGACAAATCGTTCTGCTTTTTTGTGGTTTTTACAGAAAAAGCGTTCTGATTTTGTGGTATTTACAGAAAAATCGTTCTGATTGTGTGGTTTTATCCGACAAATCGCTTTAGCTTAATGATTTGAAGTGGCAGATCGTTTTGATTTTTGAGGTTAACTTGAATCGCTGTGATTTAGTGGTAGAGGTTGATAAAACAATCTCATTTCATGTTTATTAACTGGTAAACCGTTTTGATAATGTGGCTTTACTTGTATACTATTTTGGATTGACAGATCGTTCTGATTTTATGGTTTGAACGTTTTGATTTAGTGATTTGAGTTAGTAGCTCGTTTTGATTCAGTGGTTTGAATTTACAAATCGTACTGATTTTGCAGATGCTCTGACAAATACTTTGATTTAATTGTTTTGGTTGTTGTGCATTAGATTGACAGATCGATCTGATTTTATTTTTTGGATGGACAGATTGTTCTAATTTTAAGCTTTGGATTATGGATTGATCATTCTTATTTTGTGGATACTATGGATAGATCTTTCTGATTTTATTTTTTGGATGGACAGATTGTTCTAATTTTAAGCTTTGGATTATGGATTGATCGTTCTTATTTTGTGGATACTATGGATAGATCTTTCTGATTTTGTGGGTTACACTGGCAAATTGTTCTGAATAAGTAGTTTCCATTTAATAAATTGATTTGAAAAATCGTTTTAATTTTATGACTGACACTGAAAAATTTTATAATTCAGTGAAATAGTAGTTCTCATTTTGGACGAGTCTTTCTGATTTTGACTAATCTTTCTGATTTTGACTAATCGTTCTGATTTAGGACAAATCGTTTTGATTTTGGACTAATCGTTCTGATTTAGAACAGATCGTTCTTATCTTAACAACTATTCAATCATTCTGATCCTTGACAATTTTTGTTTCACTATTTTAAATCTTACCCATTTTTTTCTTCAGTTTTTTCACAACATGTAAACTCTCTGTCTTTTTCACAACATTCGGTATACTCCGATAGATCATTAGGACAAAAATATGTATTGCCTTCTCTATCACCAAATATATCATTCTTTAAACACTTCTTTTCTTCACCAAGTACATCTGAAAACAGAGGACCATAAAAAGGTACCACATACACATCTTTTCAACATTTTAGGTTCATCACTAGTTTTAAAGGGACATCGCCATTTTTGGGGGTTAATTTAAGTCTTAAATATATGTAAATAGTCGTCAGAAGTAGACCTACTAGAAATGTACGAAAATTGCATAATTCCTTCAAATATATTTAAAACTAAGATGTGGTAGTGTCTTAAGAAAAGACGACTCGTCTTTTTAACTTCTAAGCGGGTAATTCTGGACACTCATGGATTTGAAGGTTTAAATTTCGACAGTGAGCTTTGAACACTATTACTGATTGACTTAGCTAAAATAAATCCAGTTTCTGAGACTAAGATGCGGTTCTTTAAAAAAAATTGCGCATCTGTCCCTTTAAATCCTTTTGTCACAACTTTTAAGATTTTCCAGATTCATGTGGCTATTTCATCTTACACTATTCGGTATCACATAAAAAGTATCTACTTAAGCAACCAATCCAACCAAATGATTTAATTGGCTTCCTTTCCCAAGCTTATATAATATAGGAAGAAATATGACCAAAAATACTTATCTATTCACAAAAAAGGTACCTACGAGATATATTTTATTTCAAGTAATAATTTGGCTACGGTTGTTAAATATTTTCCTCTTTTCTTGTCGCATTATCTTCGGAACATTGACGAATGCAGTAATCTCCCACATTTTTAAAAAATAAATATAAGAAAATTTACCAAAAGAAGTAAATAGATAGCCTAAGCCTACTCATACTGCTTATATCAATGTTCAGGAATTCTTTTGAAAGCATTTAGCTCTAAGCAATCAAAGTTGTTTATGAGGGATATTTAAAATGATTCTTCTGGTTCTCCTTACCTGATTTTGCCATTTCAAAGTTTTTCAAAAAGATCTGTGTACTAAACCTAGAAAGTTCTTTTTTATATAGAAATAATTTTCCCGTTCCTTTTCGTTAAAGAATAAATAAATGTTAAATAAAATGTTGCTGTACTTTTGTTTTCAACATCAACATATTTTTTTCTTATATTTTTGAATTGCTATTTTTTTTTACCTTTAATTTTTCTTTCATCCGAAATCTCGAAGGAGAGAAAATGAAGAAGAGTTTTAAATGGCCATGAAGAAAAAAAATTATTTGATCCATTATCAGTATCTTACCTGCGATCAGTAAGCAGATACAATATAAACTCCAAAAAATTTCAGCGAGAATTTCCATTGGCCTGTTCATGTTCATCCAAAGACGAGAAACTCGCTCTTCCACATGCAAATTCACATGGTAAAAAACAGACAAAAGCCCTGAAAAGTTATAATAGCTTTAATTGTGTTGTTTGTGCTATGAAATAAACATACACTTGACTGGATTCAGATGACTGTTTCAACTTATAAATGATATATTGATTTTTCCGACATTATTGAAACTTCATCACAAGCGAAGCGTTAAAGTTACAGAATTTTAGAGGAGCATTGGAACCGTTGAATTGAATTATACTTATAGTTATATATCGGGGTAGTCAACCTCATGCAGTATGTATTGACTTGAACCTATGGCGCTCTGGTAGTCTAGACGATTGGCGGGGGACCTAAATGGTTTCAGACGACGGTCTCTCCTTGCCAGCAATGAAGTTACAGTTTCCAAACCATTGCTTTTTTTTTGAATTACATGTATTAAGTATTAGAACTGATAACGTGTAACATATATCAATAATTTTGTTTCCTGTCAATTTACTACGATTTCGTATAATGGTAGCTAACAACATCGGTATGGTCGCTATCAATGCCATCAATAAAATACTCGCTATCAAAGTCGTTTTTGGTTCAGTTTGTTACACAATTGTTAATGATTTTATTTAAACGACCTTTCAAGGAATCTCTAGTCTTTATCAGGTAATAATGATAAACGAGTAAAACATGAACAACATGGTACAGAAAACGAATAAAGATGGTTATTTAACTGTTTATTTATTTATGAATTTATTTGATGAATTCTACAGTGTTACATTACAAACATTGCCATTCCAAAGTTAATCATCCATGTTGTCTTATATGGTTGCTATCAATGTGTTGTTGATGAATGTTGTTCCGTTGTGAAATGGGGATACATCAAAATTAAAGAGAGCATCGCCCCAGGTGAAGGTTGCAAACACTAACAGTGGAATAGCTACAACATTCATGAAGAATCCTGCGATAGCCTGAAAAAAAGAATAATAGTTTACGTTGTCTTTATTCTCCATAAGGAGGTTTAATAGTAGTTCTTCCACAATATGCTTTTATTCTTGGTATTGTGAAGATGGTATGCAGATTTTCAACCTGAAATGCGATACAGAAAGAGTTCTTTCAACGACGACGACAAAACCTTTAGCCTCAATCATCCAATCCATCTTTGTCCGCGTACAGCTTCGACCTCGTCGTAGACAGGAACAGTATGGGTGGCAGAGACTACAAAACCTCCATTATGTGGTAAACTGAAACTTGAGTACCGTTAGAATCCTTGACTGCAAAAGAAACAGGGCTACATATTCGACTTACCATATCAATCACTTTAATATGACCATATGAAAAGCACAAGGCATTAGGTGCTGTTGCTACAGGTAACATGTAGGCAAAGGAAGTTGACACGGCTGCAGGTAGAATGTAAAACAGAGGATTAACTCCCGTTGCAATAGCCTGCAAAAGAATATGCATTTATATGGTTAAAACGCTGTGGATCAAAATATAAGATATTGATTGTGATTAACGTTTATCTCGTGTTCACTTCGCGCAAGCTACATTTTTTGATGAATTGCTTTAAGTTTCAGTTTGAATGTTCATTTTACGACAAGGATGGTGCTGATCGATTTTTATGATTATCGATTTCAGAATGAGACTTGATGCAATATGTCGCATTGTTCCGGTGCCCTTTTGTACATGCGGAAAAAAGGAACTATCTTCTTTTCGAAACCTGAACGGGCCAATGATGGCGAGGACCGCCAAGCAGAGTACAATGAAAGTATTTTGCCAATACTCATGCATAATAGCTGTTGAAGCATCTGTAAACGGTCAATTAATGCAGAAAAATGTTATCATCTAAATACCAAATCTTGTACGTAAACTGCCAGAGTTGCTAAATGCGTGATACTGAGTGTTAGTACATGTACTTACCAAATTACCTAAAATTGGAACCATTAGAGTGGCCAGAGCAACATTACTGATAAACTCAGTTAGGAATTCACAAATATAACATAGAATTAATAGCATTAACCATTTATTCAGACCTGCAAATACTGCTAACTGTAAACCAATCCAGGTGGACAAACCCGATACCTGAAATAGGTTGGAATTTTATCATCATTGGACTACAAATATGGGTGCTCCTTTTAATAGACCCAAAGGAACAAGACTATTTTAAAGTGAAATATACTCTTAATAACTAATACTCAACTGATTGGGCTATTGAAGGTGCACTTTGCAATGACATAAATTTGCAAATCAGCGATATTCTTTTACACTTTTCAATTTTGCCATTATCGAGGTATAGTTTTGCTATTGCAAACTTGCAGGCAACAGTATTATGGTTCATTTGCCCATCTGACCGACGAAAATGGAATTTACCTCACAACCCTTGGCTAAGGCAAATCCTCCTCCTAATAAAATAAATATACCCCATGGTAATTTTTCATGAGCGTCTTGCCATAACAACAATGGTCGAGGAGTTTTGACCCGAGCATCTAAAAATATAAAGTAAAGAGTGAAAGCACAAAGTGGACAAGGTATAAATCGACATTCAAATGGACATGGCATGAAATTTGGTTTTTGTCACACCACTAGCTATATGAAAATTTTTTTGAAGACTGATCCTAAACTATCAGTAATGGCTACTTTTGCTGATAGCTGAAGTATGCTTTATCCGAGGGTAACAGTAATATAAGGCTGTATAACTGTTAGAAGGATTCTGTTACAGATGGTCTGTTCACGAATTTGAAGATAAAGAAAACAACCTTTAAGCTTGCGACAGCAGAATATAGCTGGTAATTCTGATGGTAGAAAAAATAATATAACAGCTATTAATATGGCTGGTGTCGAATCTTTAACATACCTGAAGATAAAACAGAATATTAAGAGTATTTCATCCTTCCTTTGTGGACTTTTGGAGAAAGGATTCTCCATGCAGTGTGTAACGAGGTCAATTTTGCCGTGTAGCAGATTATGCTTACTCTTCTAAAAGTCCCATATATAAATTCCTACAGATGACAGATTTTGTTTGTGAATTTCTGGAAAATACTATGTGATACTATACGCTAATAGGTTTTGTGGATTTTTAAAAATGCATCCACTTGGGAGGACGTTTTCTCGCAGCTGCTTGGCGAACCAAGTTGGTTTGAATTGACAGATTGACCAAAATCATCCAAGGAAAGATCATGCAATGATGTTCATTTAGGTTCAGTAAATTTTAGCTAATCACAAAACCAACGTTATGATTACGAATTGAAAGACGTAGAAAATCATGCGTATGCGCAATTTCTTAGTGAAAGCTGTGTGTTGGTTCAAGTGCATATTCAAAACAGTGTTCATCTATTCAAGCTTCTATTTGACTATACAATTCAAAATATACAAATACACGTGAACGAAATAGAGAACAAAACATACCCATTTCTAAATAAATTACCCCAACCACCAACACCACCTAAATCACGTGATATCCAACAAATAACCAAAACTGTAAACAATACTAAAACATTTTTCTGGGCATATCTAAAATAACAATAGGTACTAAACTATACTCTACTATAACCTTAGTTCGAAAAATGATCACTCTGACTTGTTAATTGGCGGAGAGAGACTGGTTTTATGACGATTTGGCTGTAACATAAAGGGGACTTCTGGTAGGTGCCATACATGCCCACGAAAGTTTAAGGACGTATAGTGAATACATTTGCTTGATTACGTCTAGAATAGATTGTATTGCAAAAGTCAGATGGTTCTGCATACGTCATCTTTACTCGTTATTCCAGTCGACCACGGTGTACATGTGATCCTATGGCTAGAAATAGCAGTGCCAATCAGAAAAGTGATAGTATGTCGCAAATGCAACTACCAATCTTTACACAAATTCTTGAAAAGAAATGGTCATGGAACTAGATATGCGTATGGCATTAAACAGAAAATACTGCATCTTGACATGGTAGCTTTAAGGATTATTACAAAGTAGCATGTATAACATACGAAATAGGTCCCAAAGCATCATATTGTTCTTTAACTAATAGATGTACTTTATTATCTTTCTTCTCTTCTTTGTTTTTCTGGTAACAACTACTCACATCTCTTAATGAAAATATATTAATACATATTATCAAAGCATCAGCAATCCCATGTTCCGTTTACTTTCAGAGACAAAACAAGTAGAAACAACAATACTTTCATTGTTTTGCTTCCTACGTTTCTACACAGTGTACAATGAGGGAAAATTTGCATGGAAAGTAACATCGGCCTGCTCTTATCTTAAATTTACGTATTAAGGGAGGTAACATATCCATAAAACTACTTTTCTTTTAACAAATATAAATTGACTCATATTACAGAACTTAAATAGAAATTGTCATCTAACCCATCATATCATCATAATACAATGGCCAACATACTTACGTTTCATTTTCAATAAGAATGAACAAAACATAAACTTACGAACATCGAAGAAAGAAAATCTGTAGCCAAACCCAGGTTACAATCAATACCAGAAACGCTAGAGGTAAACCAAATGCCATCCATGTAGCGTAATTGATGGGTGACTTCAGCCCATTTTTGGAATATATGCTTCAAAGAGAATTAAACAAGAAATAAGGCAAACATTGTTGGTAATTCCTTTTCCTGGCAATAGCTAGCATATGCATGAATGTAATGGTATATAACCTCATTCGGGTAGCGGCACGTTCCACGGCATGCTTGCAAAATATTTCTTATGGTGCTTGATTTGATAATATCACAACGACATTATGTATGTTCATTTTGATAGCAAAACAAAATGGCGTCACTTACTCATCAGCATAGTTTTTTAAAACCAGATTCGGCCCAGTTCCAGTTAGAGCACCTATACCACCACAATTAGCTGCATAACAAATACACAACGATATTGCTTTACCTACATTCTTAAATTGCTTGTCACCATCTTCTTCTTCGTCTTTTCTATCAAATAAAAGAATAGTCTGATTAATCCGTCCGGATATGCTCGGAATCTACACCCATCGAAGTCGGTCTCCTAATTGAGATGAGCTATGTTACGGATCAGATTTGATGCTGTGAATCAGCAGCGGTTTCTCAACCTTTTATTAGCATGAGATTTTGCTGTGAGTTTGCTGAAAATCCTGATGCTCTCGGGTTAGCTGAAATTCAAGTCAATCTTAACGATGAACTGCCCCCCAAACAACTTTCTTGATAAAGACCTAGCCCGTGTTTACTGTTTAAAGAATCCCTTCAAATGCAGTCCTGTGTTGCGATTCATTTGACTGAATTACGTGTTAAATTGCGTTTACTACTCCTACTCTACAGCGATCATGCGGTTATACTCTATACTCTACAGAAATTATGCGGTTATACTCTTTCTCTACAGAGACCGTGTGGTTATACTCCTACTCTACAGAGATCATACGGTTATACTCCATATCTACGGAGACCATACGGTTATACTCTTACTCTACAGAGATCATGCGGTTATTCTCTTACTCTACAGAGATCATGCGGTTATACTGTTACTCTACAGATACCATGCAGGTTATACTCCTACTCTACAGAGATCATGTGGTTATACTCCTACTCAATAGAGATTATACGGTTATACTCCTACTCTACAGAGATCGTGCGGTCATACTCCTACTTTACAGAGATCATGCAGTTATACTCCTTATCTACAAAGACCCTGTTGTTATACTCCTACTCTACTACAGAGATCATTCGGTTATACTCCTACTCTACAGAGATCATGTGGTTATACTCCTACTCAATAGATATTATACGGTTATACTCCTATTCTACAGGGATCGTGCGGTCATACTCCTACTCTACAGAGATCATGCGGTTATACTCCTTATCTACAAAGACCCTGTTGTTATACTCCTACTCTACTACAGAGATCATTCGGTTATACTCCTACTCTACAGAGATCATGTTGTTATACTCCTACTCTACAGAGACCATGTGGTTATACTCCTACTCTACAGAGATCATGCGGTTATACTCCTACTCTACAGAGATCATGCGGTTATACTCCTACTCTACAGAGATCTATTAAAAGAAATTCGCGTACTCTTCTCCCTTTTCAATATTTATTTCTTTAATGTCTTTGCTGTCACTTTCACATTCCACATCTACAAAAGAAAAAAAATGGTCATCATTCAGCACACTCCTCCATGCTTATATACACAGTTCTGCCAGCCAACAAGGGAAGCAGTATACAACCAATATATATCGCTTTATATCTTTAATTTTGAATGTTTGATCTATTTCCAGTTATCGACATTTCAATATTTCACTCCAATTAATATGTTGAAAGGTCACTGGATTTCTACAGTCCGTGATAACGAATTCCAATGAGGTTCAAATCTTTTGAGGTTTGAACAATCGAGAGAGATTCTATTTCCAACGACTACTGATAGCGGGCATCATCTGGAAGAACCTGATATATTGAAGGATATAGTGGACTTGACAACGAATCCATTTAGTTTCATTCTGATCAATGTTAAATATCAGGTAGAATAATGTGATTACTAGAGTTTGACTGTTTCAGCAGTTTGTGGGTCTCTTTTAATTGAACTAATAGTGCTTGAGCAATTGGTATCATCATAGCGGTTGTTGCTGTATTGCTCACAAACATTGATAGAAACCACGTTGGTATCATTAAACCCAACATCAACCTACAAAATATATCAATTGATACAAAAAGTAAAAATGAGTTGTGAGTAGAATATTATGATGAGTATATTATTTTTTCTTTTAAGATGGGTTTCCATCTTTTTTAGTGTCAAATTAAGCAAACTATTTGATTAATGGGTGTTTCTAATGAATTATCATGTATTCTTAATCATATCATTATGTTCTTATTGCATATGATAATATAAATTTTAACCAATCATCAATGTTCATGTTTGTACAGTCTGGATAAACTAAAAATACTTTTTGACCTTTCTTGATCGGTCACTCATCCGAATTCTGTTGGTAATTCTCTTCTAATTTAGCTAATTATGAATTAATTATGAACATGTGAGACAAACTGGAATTTTCCAAGTTATTAGAACAACTCTACTTTCTATTCATATAAGTATTAGCATTTCATTTTCATAAATGAAAATAAGGGAACCCATCTTTAATTTGGTTGAAAATTAAAAAGTTCAACGACGGTAAAAAGGAGATGTTCGCCCTATCTCTAGAATGTCTCAAATGTGACTTACCATCTGGGTTTAGAGCCAACTAAAAGCAGAATCCTTAATGCTACCAGTTTGTGAATATCCCATACTTCTATAGCAGTTGCCATAATTAGTCCTCCAATAAATATCATCAATGTATCCTGAAAATTATAAATCAGAGGTTTGTTCTTACCACAATTGTGAAGTGGTTGTGAAGAATTTACCACATTTATCACAATAAGGGTTGTTATCACAACAGGGATTGTGAAGAATTTACCACATTTATCACAATAGGGCTCATGTTAGGGGTTATTATCACAATAGGGGTGTTTACCTCAAAATGGGTTGTTATCACAATAGGGATTGCAATCAAATATATTGCTTTAACCACAATAGGAGTTTTTACCACATTTGAGTATTTACCAAAATAGGGTTTGTGAGAAATTTACTTCATATACCACAATAAGGGCTGTTAACACTGAAAGTAACAGCGTCTTTCATATTTCTTTTGGGAATGGTCAGATACAGTTGAAGAGAGGTTAGTCCCTTCATTCTCGATAGAAAATGATGATTCCATTCGGTATTTACATACCAATGCTCTATTCAATACTATATAACCAATTTTTGAAAAAGCATAATACTTACAGACATATATTCAGGAGCAATTTCTTTAGCAGTTACAACACCTAGCATTGGGAAGAGAAATACTGGAAATAATGCAGTAACGGAGATGGGTAGCGCCTCTGTGACCCACATTATTGCCATTAACAATAACACAAATGCTGCCTTGGCCTCCTGAAAAAAGCCAATCAGAAATACAGATAGTCCAATATGTTGATAGTAAAGAATCATTACTTTTTCAGTTCATTTCCTGCTACCAATGTTATGCCAATCTGTTTCTTTGGATTTCTGGCCGAGAATTGTCTACAGTAATATAGTAATAAGTGTAGTAATATATTTTGTATTGTCATATTTGTTACAGTGATCTAGGTCAGGGCAGAATGAATCCCAGATCAATCAAACCTTGCCATATTAATCAAAAATGACCAAAAAACCGCAGAGTTGATATCTTGTAAGATGCTGACAGTATTCTCCTTAATTGATGATGGCTTATTGTGATAAATTATTGTAATTTCTTCCATTTTTTGGATTTTATTGAAGTTTGGTATGTACTCAAAGTAACTATATTTTTATCCAATGTTTTGTTGCAAGTTTATGACGTATACATACGTATGAAATCTATCTATTGTGTTTGTACTATTAGATACATTGTGTACCATTAAAAAAAATACCGCTTTATGTTCTGCCACGTGATTGCCACAGGTTGTATAAACAGTAAATACAGTATGTAATATCGAATATCCGACAAAATATGAAATTGGCTTATATTTTGACATTCTTTTTCGTTTTCTGATATTTTTAGTCTACATTTAGTTAAGCTGGATAAACTTTTAGGCGCTTCGTATCCCTTTTTTGAATTCTGACGGGTACCCTTTTACTCACTACAAGCATACATGGATCAATTGATATCTGAATCTAAGTCTGAACCTATTAAAGTGGAAAGGGGACTTACCTGTGTCCTGGCAATAGTACAATAGCTAGGAATAAGAATGCTTACCTGTGAGCCAATGTACAAAGGTAACGGGAGCAGTAGCATGGGCGTAGTGACCAATAACAGCACAACTCTAATGCTCCATAACTGTTGAACGATTGTCGCCATATTTTAACTTAATAAAGATGAACACTAATTTTTATAGAGTGTCAACAAACATTTACAACCCTGTCTTTCCGCTTGTCACTAGTATTGAAGGCTACACTAACTAATAGTACATCTACATGCTGCATCTTCATTACTCTAGACTGAACTATTAAAATAGTGTTCTGCATCTTTGCTTATTCAAATAACCTTTGAGTTTTGTATATCAATACATCCTATTAATAACGTTAAAAACTGACATGAATATGATGCGGCATAGTGTTGACATGCGGAATTATGTAGGCTACAGTTATTATATAGACTTATAGGGAGAAATATATAGCTACACGCCTATCATGAGACAAAGTATCGAGGACATCCACTGCTCTTTATTGTGAAGGTGAGCAAGGGAGCTAGTGGGAATCTACAAGGTGGTTTAATTCTCCTTTGGCGCTGGAAGCAAAGAAAATTTTAAAATTTCATCTTGAAATGCATTCTCAAGTCATCGAGTAAATATGTAACGGATATTTTGGTTATAAATCTAAGCGGTTTTTTGAACATTTTAGCTGTATGTCAGCCGCCATCGTTCACCTCAAAAAAATTATCATATGTCGTATCCTTCTTGCTGATAAAAATCGAATATTGGACGGTGATCCGTAAGTAGGTCCAAACTGCTTATTTTATCACTGACAGCAACGAAGACAACCCGCTTCTTTCTTAAACTATAGTGGAGGTTGGTGGTCACAAACGGGGTAGTCTGACCACAATTTTGGATCACTTCCTCCTCCCCGATTCAGAAAAATGCTCAATTCAGTTTTGCAAGTTCCATGCCTATGTGCGGACTCCGATGTTGGTGTGGGGAAAGTTATTGTCATCACATCACAAAAGTTATAAAAAAACAACGTCACTAACACCACACTCTCATAGACATGGTAGAGCTTCATATTAATTTATACAAACAAAACGACCTACGAGTGAGTTTCCCTTGACATGTTTCGTGTGTGTTCATATTTACAAAACAAATCGTAAAAATGGCTACGTACAAGTGAGTGGATTGGCCAGTTAGAAAAATCACGTGACATCATGAAAAGATAATATCTAAGTAGAAATATGAAATAGGTGACTAGGGAATACAAAACGTTTTATAAAATCTAACAACTACCTATTTAATATGAAAAATAATAGTAGATTATTTTTGTAGTCTGGTTTATAATGTATTGTTGTAGTAACCTCCCTTAGATAATGAATGACGTTCAGATATTCCAGTCAAAGAATCATATCATTTAGTTAAGAACTGTCAGTACGTTAAAAACACAAATAAGTTGATTAGGTTGATGCCACATTCCGTAATCAAATGGGTGAGTTAGTGCCTCATTTGATAATCAAATGGGTGAGTTAGTGCCTCAATTGATAATAAAATGGGTGAGTTAGTGTCGCATTTGATAATCAAATGGGTGAGTTAGTGCTTCATTTGATAATCAAATGGATGAGTTGGTGCCTCATTTGATAATCAAATGGGTGGGTTAGTGCCTCATTTGGTAAGCAAATGGGTGAGTTAGTATCTCATTTGATAATCAAATGGATGAGTTAGTGCCTCATCTGATAATCTCATGGTTGAGTTAGTGCCTCATTTGATAAACAAATGGATGAGTTGGTGCCTCATTTGATAATCAAATGGTTGAGTTAGTGCCTCATTTGATAAACAAATGGATGAGTTGGTGCCTCATTTGATAAACAAATGGGCGAGTTAGTGCCTCATTTGTTAACAAAATGGATGAGTTCTTGTGTTGAAATGGTTATGTTGTTGATGCGTTTGTTGTTCAAGTGATTTATTTGGCGTATGAGGGATCATTCCATGTTACATTTCGAAAAGAAATTGGTTATGTTAATGTCCAGGGAAAAGTTAAATCAAAGAACAAAATTGGAGTTGCCATTCTTTGATTAAATGTTAGAACAGAGTGACGTTAACCCACATTCGTTTTCATAAACTGTGTTGACAGGTGATTGGTACATTTTTGAAGGTTGAATGAACACATGGTCCATAATTGTATTTACAGATTTTAGTGCTTTCTTATGAACACGTTTCTAGCGTTTGATGGAAATAGATGTAGCAATTACTTCAAATGACCTATATTCAAAGACACGTGCAAAATCACTTACTGTTTCAAATGCAATGACCATAAAGGTATTTATTGCTAGAAAAGTATTTTGTACTATTTTCGACACGTTTTGGGTATGTGACCAGTGCAATAATATCAGTACTCTATTAATTTAACGGTAATTAAAGAAGCGGAGCTGAAAAATTGGCAACTGAATTGGAAGAAGAATAGCATTTAAAACTGCTGCCATGCTAGTCATGTGACCGACACGTGACTAAATCGGTCCTAATGGAGTATCTTTTACGGCCGAACGGATGTAATTTTAATGACCATATAATCGATAGAATATTAGAATGAGATCGAAACAATGCTAAGCACTTTGTTAGTGAAAGACTTCGATATTGGTTGAGACACTGAGGATGTTGAATAGGATAAAAAACATATATTAAATTTAGATAACTCTATGAGGCGCAGTCTTAAAGAGCGAATAAACGAGATGTGATGTCCGGTACGGTGTGGGATTTCATTAAATAGAAACCAATCGTGCTCGGACCCGTACATTGTGTATTTCGTCCTCTATTTTCAACTGTATCGATAATACCACACCGTACATCGCATCCACCTGACCAGGGCAACGGAATAATGCTCTAGAGTACTAATCTATAAGGAGCTCGACACTTAATAAAATCTGATGGGGGGTTATAGAATTAACCAAATTAAGGTACCTCGACAGGTGATGAATGCTGCTGTCCTAGAATCTAGAAAGCGAGTTAGAAAATCGGAGGTCTAAAGCCTTGAGTAGACGGGGTACGCAGGAGATCCAATCCTTTTGGTACATCTGCAATCTTGCAAGTGTGTCTTTCGTGTCCCCACTTTCTGATAAGAAAATCTCAACCCGCATCATCTACTACCCTCATCATTCCCTTCTCGCGTCATTTTGATCCATCACTTAATCCGACCAATCTATGAACAGTGATACCAAGGCATATTTTTGTGAACATCAAAAACAATAGTATAATATAAAACATTTATAATGATCAACAAAATAAACAATGTAAATTCATACAAAATTGTAAACAATGATAAGAAAAATGAATAACAATGGACACAGAAATAGAAAAGAATTTTGTTGTAATGTAAATTGTTTCCAAGTTATCTTGAATGGCATCTATAGTTCTCTAATAAGGCACATATAGTTTTAAGGTTAATTAATTGAAGTTTATAGCTCTTATATGAACTATTTAATGGTGATGCGTTCGATTTTTTGTTCTGTAGCTTATGAACTATTTAATGGTGATGCGTTCGATTTTTTGTTCTGTAGCTTATGAACTATTTAATGGTGATACGTTCGATTTTTTGTTCTGCAGCTTATGAACAATTTAATGGTGATGCATTCAATTTTCTTTAATGCAGCTCAGGATCAATCATCTGAAGTTTTCGCCTTTTGATATTGTCAATTCGTTTACGACGTATACCTGAAAGAGTAAAAAGAAGATACTTAAATAAAACGCAAAAACCATTGTTACTAAATCTTAACATTTTAAGTGTCGTTCTTTCAGCTATTTTAAAAAGCTTGTGAAATGAAAACATCCAAAGATGACTCATAAAGATAGGAAACAAAATTATTTTTTTAAACCGAGAAAAATGTTTAAGAGCTTTCGCTTACCTTAATAACAAAAATGTGCTTAGCAGCAAGCTGAAGATGTACTAGTTGTGAGAATGTATTCGTTGTTGTAACGTTGGTCGTTGTGTATAGAAAGATCCTGTATGTCCGACGGAATGTAATATATATATAACGTAGAGTCCACATCAAATAACAATAAATAGCACCGTATATATATCATATCACAGATAAGCTCTTCCCGAAATGCCTAAAATGAAAAAAAAAGAGGAAAATTAAAAACATATATTATATATATATATATACATAAGTTGACAAGCACAATTGCAGAGTGGCATTAGGTGTTTATTCTATAATCAAATTGATAAAGAAGCGAATCTTTGTCCCTTCATTAAACGCTAACGATTGCAATCCGTTTCGTTGTGCCGTTCATCGGGTCATAAGCTATAGTTCTCCGACAAAATTGCACAAACTCGTTGTTAATTTTTCTAATGATATTGATAATTACCTTTTATAAATCTTTTGGTTTCTTTAAATGTAAGAAACTAGGCAATTTCTGTTGTTTGGTGAAGCTCTTTACTTGGGGTGTGGGTTGATTGGGTGCCATTGGCATCATCTGGCATACAAACGATCTCATAGATTCTTCTGTGATGTTAGACATACCTCCTGTAAAACAGAAAAACGGAATCATAAACATTGGCATCATCAGAACAACGCTTATCAAAACGTAAGATAGGAAAATGAAAATGGGCTAATGCTGATTTCTTTCAATTCCAATCTCCAATAAACGACCCTTTTAAGCTCGATTGAACTAATGGATTTCAATGACCTAGCAATTTAATCTCGATTTAAAACTTTAAATCCTCTTAATGAACTTATTAAGATTATGTTCAGAGTACAATTTCGAACAATCAAGTTGACACAGATTGCATTGAACTCGCAGGTGTCGCGATTGAATACTAAACATCTTGTTAACTCGACTTAACATCTACTTTACATTTACTGTAATCTATGTATACAAGTATATACTATAAACAACGAAACAAGTCCAACCCAAACCAGCTGTCACCAAATCCCTTCTTTGTCCCCTAATAATTTCATTTTAAGTAATTCGAGCGAATAGTTTTAGCAATTTTGTGGTTTTTGTAAAGAGGTTGATCGAATCGTGCCTTAACGTGACGTCGCAAATTGGTGGGAAATAAAACAGGTGCTCAACTTGATTTATACAATTTATTTAAATTATTTCTGCCTCGCCTGGTTGGGGTCACTTAATATCATATCATACTAGTGAGAGACGTGTTAAAATGAGAAATTTGATTACATTCCGAAATGTACCGTTAGTCCTAAAGATTTGAATTGTGCTCATGAATAAGTAACCAAGTACAACTTTACGTTGGAAGGGGTGAGCGAGGACATGATCACATTAAACAAGTACAATTTTCAGATCCATCAAAGATGACAACTTTTACTTACCAGCTTTTCGTCTGAATCGTTCCAATAAGGCTTGATGAAGTTCTTCAATATATCTGACAGCTTCTTCAACCACTTCGACCTTGCTGACTTTCTTCTTGCTGGCGACTGATGGGACGAGATCTCGGAGTTTACAATATTCACGATCTCGGATTCTTCTAAGATGAAGCTTCAGACTCTTCTTGGCTGTTATCTGAGCAGCAGATTGGTTAAGACGAGCTGATACTGCACGAACCATCTGAAAGGAGAAAAGTGAAAGTTAGTTGATGTGTCAATCGAAAACTAACAGTGGGTTTTTCACCCAGATTCATGCAACCAAAATATTTGATTGGTGTGAACGAACAGTGCCTGGAATCAGGATGTCTATTGACATTACTAACATAAACTACCAAGAACTGACAATGAGCATAAATTACTGAAATTGTATGAGCCAAACAGGAAACACCAAAAACGTCATGTCCAATTTCCTCTAATTCCATTAAATATGTTTTGACATATTCATTCCCAATATAACCAATTCATAATATAACTTTTTCAACTTGTAATAGTACTCACTTTTGATATTATAAGTATAACTCCGTAAGGTAATGGAATAAACTGCTAAAGTCCAAATATACTCTTAGTAAGCGAGTGTCGAGATAATTCGAGTGAATGATAAATATTACTGTCTCTCGGCCTTTTATTTGCCATGTGTCGCTTCACCGCCGATGTGACAATCATTGCACGCGAAAATATAGTCCCTTCAGCTAATTTGCATATTCGCTCATGCGGATCATGACCAGCCCTCGGGTAGAAATTAAGTCAGTACAATACAGAGAGGCAATATAGGGTTGTGATACACAACCAATAACAATTGCATAACCATTGATGGGCGGATTAATTTGGGGGCTGGTCTTTACTTTATACTGAATGCGAGAATGATTCGAGAGACCGTGGGAACACTGGGGATGGTAGCCGAGTGAAAGCTAGTAATAATCGAATAGCTTTTATGAAACGAAAGAAAAGTTTGATGGTGTACTTGGTGTAGTTAACAACTGTCGCTATTAGAGGCTGCTGTTATTATCCCAGCGTCCAGACTCTTTAACTATCATCATTTTCATTTTTATATCGCAGATTTGCCATTCATACTTTCAACGTGGTCCTTCATATTAAAGAAATATAATAGAAAGTGAACAGATTGGTTGATGAATATGATTAGAAAGCCAATAATAATCCGAACCAGACTTTTTCTAGCCTATTATTAAATAATACAAAATTATAGAATATTGCTCAAAATATCAGTAAAATTACATTATTTTAATGTTTAAATCGTAAAAAAACCCTAGAGCCATTTATTGATAGTGAAATAAATCACATGTTATCGCCCTGTAATTTTTTATACCGAAAATATGATATGATGAACCGAAAAATCATTGAGAGACCGACGTCTACAAATTTGTCCACGATTTTTCCATTGCTCAATTTTCATAGAAAAATTAAACTGTTATTGCCTTCAAAAGAAATAAAAATCTAAGTAATTTACTTGTCCATGACATATTAGATCCCGTTATATTAACCCTTTGAAACAATTGCACTGTGAATTAGATTTCATAACTATTTGTAAGCATTATTCTGTTTCAATCTTTCCCGACTTATTATAGTAATAATTTCTCTTTCCTTTTCCTTTGCTCTCAGGAATGTAAATTATACTGTATTTTCAATATAATATTTTTTAATTAAAGTGATAATAGACATTTAAAAAAATATATTCCATCTTCTTGTGAACTTGGCCAGTACTTTCATAGGAGAGCATCTAGTACATAAAAATGAATTTAAAGTCCAAACACCATGGTTTGAAAATTGAACAAAGAAATTAAAGAGATTTTGAATTTTTATGAAGCCTACAGTTTTAGCGGTTAAAAGGTACCAGAAATGGCGGTGTTGAAATTGTTTTTAAAAATTCAGAGCGGTATTGAAAAAGAATACATCGTTGAAGTTTTAAAATATTTGAGGGATTTTTTTAGGAATACTATCTGTGTAAGAGTTTAAATTTGAATTTTACTGAAAACTGTTGTACTATATAATTTTACCCCTTCTATGAAATCGACTGAAATTACATCGTCGGTTGTTGGACAGAAAAGCCGCTCATATTGACAAAAGAGAATACATAATGTATGCCAATATGTTAATCAGTCTTGTATACCTAGATCCTAATGACCTAATGCTAATATTAATGAATCCGCAAAAGAAGTGATTATTCGGTGGTATTAGGTGTTCAAACAGTATCACAGTATATACTTCAAAGTACCGTTAGTCATTAAATAATTTACAATACTAATTACTTGATAAAATATGTATATCTTTACTTTTCACCTATATACCGACCGACTCTCACCTGTGCTGTGAATATATTAGGTACATTCTCGTTTGATCTTGTATTAAGGCTTGTTATCAAAGATGTAAAGTTTTGAGATAGATAACAATGGAGTATATCGTTGTCATTGAACTATAAGGTCATAAATAACTATTGTCTTGAAATTTACTTTCCACGAAAAACGCAAGGTCATATCTACAAAAAAGACCCTTTGTTGTCAATGAATGGATGCAGATATGACCTTTGGTCATCATTACCACTAATGAACTTTTAGATCTATGACAACGATATATCATTCGATTTTGAACGATTTTTTGTCATACTGTCAATGGTGCTATCATGGAGGGTGCAGTTCGGCCGGAAAATGCTTATTCTTTTACGTGAAATCCCGATCTGTATATCTGTCGTTAATGAATCAGGCCTTTTTGCACCTATTTCACCTCATTGATTTTGTCGGCTAGTTGATTCAGAATTGGAGGTTTGTAATTTGTAAGTTTTCATATAGGCATATACTACCTGCCCTTATGTGCACAAAACTACTAAAGAGAAAAAATTGTTATAAGGATGACAATTCTCTCGAACAAATGACTTTTCTCGGTAACCATGCCAGAAATTTCAATTGTATTTTCACCTCAAAATCACCTTTATATTGACGTTGTATTGTTCACAATTAGCAAAATAACATAGAGTTGAATTTCCTGTGAGAAAATGTACCAAATTGATTGAATTATATCCTTGGTAATCGATTCTGCCATATCCGCCATAAGTCCAGTCCATTGAAAAATTGAAACGAAAGAAAATATGATAAAGAACAATTGAATATGGAATTATGAATCGATCAGCTCTCCATACAAAAGCCTGAGACTTAAAGAGCAACTCGCGTGGGAACGAGTCCGATGCTTCTTTCCGGAATATTGATGAATATATCGAATTCAAACAGAGCTAAAAGATTTCCTGTCTGTATCATTGTTTAGTTTGAATTTGTATAAAAGTATATAACAAAGGGCATTATTGGATTTATTTATTCCAGCAAATACGAAATTAATACACTAGATACGAAACCATGAAAAGTAGCTTTGTGTTTTCTGTGCCTTCTGTTTTGAAATCTCGTGTGGCATTTCCCGCGCTCCGTGAGCTTGAACCCAGGCGTCAGATGGTGCAGGAATGACATGAGGCATGGCACCTATATGACTTAAACAAAATTGTATAGTTTTTTATTTTGACAACTCGCTAATGGGAACTGATATTTTTTTTACTTATGAAATTTTGAAACATGTTACCATGTTTTTTGTGCTTTTTGACACCAGCCGGTTTCAAGAGCAGTATGGCGGCCACCAATTGGGCACCATGGTACACGATGATTTAAGCAACATATGTTGAAGCTTGGGGCTTCCCTTATTTTGGCAAGTGGCTCACTCTTTCAAGATTTCTGGAATTAAGAGAACTTATGAAGAGAAGGCTATAATTTTTAAACCTTCTTATTTTCAATTAATATACAGTTCAATGATTTTTGACGCACGACCTGTGTAAAATAAAATTAATCATAATTTGCAATCCCCAGTTTAGAGTTCATTCTCTCCAGACAATCTTCTAACTTCGAATCAATGATTTTGAATTATGGCAAATGAGAGATAGTCAAATGACCAGAATTTTGCTGAGATTGTTAAAAGAGGGAAAACTTACATCTTTTAAAAATGAATGAGCATCGAGGGAATTTTTGAATTTCTAACTGAAGATAATAAGTATAAAAATTCAGAAAATTTATCAAATTTTATTCAATTGTTTAAGGGATATTCTCCCATCAGTGAAAATGTACAACTGAGTTTTACATGAAGAAGGCGACATCTGGAATAAAATCCAAAATCTCATTTGATAATCTTCTATTTATATAACTAATGTGATTTAAATCCAACAATTTCATCGTGCCATCAGTTACTTAATCCAGGTTTAACCTTAAACGTCGTTTTAACTTCACTACACGCAAGGTGGTTGTTACAGAAGTGTGTCCACGGTCATATTTGCATACTGATTAACATCTAGGACAAGTCGTAAAAGACCCCTGAATCCTAATTAGTGAAAATTAATGAGAAAATTATTAAGAGACTTTTGGACTGGTCACGAGTCTAGCGTACGTATTTCAATCTAAATGCGTTAAAGTGCCATGTCATATTTCAATGGTTTGGTTCCAGCTCTGCACGCCATCAGAACGCACGTGTTATTGGGGTCGTTTTTGGATTACTATATGACTAATATTTGCATAAAGTTTAATTTGACGACATGATAAATGTTCATTAAAACTAAAATTAATACATTCTAAATCTGCGACACGTTTTGGCTCTAAAAATTGTCTATAACGTTTAGCAAAGCTTTTTCATTCACCACCCAAAAGTACGACTTTTTTCTCAAATTTAATTTGCAGATGAATTATCCTGATTTTCGTCTTTCGCTCTTTTTTAATTTTTATTTCATGACGTTGTTCTACTAAGGAAAAAAATGTTCAAAAGAATCAAATTACGATAAAAATATTAATAGCAAATTGAATTACTGATAGTAGATCATAATCGAATTCATATTTCATGTAAAAAAAAGTCTACTCAGATATATGATTATAAGGGCAGAGATCAAGGTGGGAGAATTTAATTGAAAATATAAATATAAATCTGTTACACCTGCCTAATAATCAGAGTAAACTTTATTTAACATAAATAATAAATGCCAATAATTGTTAAGCCAATTAAGATCTCAATGGTAAAAAGTAGTCCGTATAACCCGAGGTACTCTTCTTGAGCATTGATTGCAGATCACATAACGGGATCATCATTGAAAGCAAGTGTCAAAACAAAATGCGACGCCGTAATATGTCAATATAGTAGTGGGACGCTACA